CTCCCTTGACGGACTTGACCAAACAGAATGGCAAGTGGGAATGGACAAGAAAATGAGACATTTGAGCATATAAAGGAGTGTTTGACTACAACTCCATTGTTCAAGATGCTAGACCCTGAGAGACCCTTTGAGGTCACAGCAGACGCATCTCAGACTGTTGTGGGAGCAGTCTTGATGCAGGATAATCATCCAATCTGTTACGCCAGCAGAAAGTTCCTCCCAGCAGAGTTGAACTATAGCGTGACAGACCAAGAGGCTCTCGCTTCGGTTCATGCTGTCCAGTTGTGGAGGTGTTACCTGGAGGGTACACGCTTCAAACTGGTAACAGACCATTGTCCGTTAACCTACCTTAAGTCACAACCACAACTAAGCCGAAGACAGGCCAGGTGGTCAGAAATCTTACAAAGTTTGACTTTGACTGGGAATATCGCCCAAGGCGAAAGAATGTGGCTAATCCACTCTCTCGCATTTCTCCATCTCCTGATGAACAGGAAGCCAGCAGGAAGAGTCAACTAGTTGTTCATGGCTTAAGAGTAATAAGCAAGCAGGGACAAAAAGAAAATATGAAAGAGACGGTAGAGGCAGACAATCTTGCCTCCAGGATCCGTCAGGCTTACGGTTACAATCCCCAGCTTGAGTCTGTAAAACAGCACCAAGAAATGCGTTGTACAGATGGGTTATGGCTGTGAGGCAAACAAATATATATACCAGCTAGTCTGCAGACTGAGATCTGCCAGTTGGCTCACGACCATCCAAGTGCAGGACACTTTGGTTAAGCCAAAATACTGGACTTGGTTCAAAGGCATTACTGGTGGCCAGGAATACGATGAGAAATACAACTACATGTTGATACTTGCCTGGTTTGTCAACAGGCTAAGTATTCTCGTCAAAAGACCCCAGGCTTATTACAGCCTCTGGGCATTCCTGAGGAGCCATGGACTGAACTATCTATGGACTTCATTACACAACTGCCAAAAACTAAGGGAGGTCATGATGCTACCGTCGTGTTTGTCGATAGACTGACCAAAATGGTCCGCCTCGTAGCCACGACCACTGAGCTCTCCGCAGAAGGAGCAGCCGACCTGTTGGTGCGGAATGTGATAAGGCACCACGGTCTCCCCTCTCAGATAGTGTCCGACAGAGACGTTCGGTTCATTTCCAGGTTCAACCAGTACCTGGCCGAGAGGTGGAAGATTCAGCTCAACATGAGCACTGCGTACCATCCACAAACGGATGGCCATACCGAAGTCATGAATCGGATTCTGGAGGATTACTTACGCAGCTATACGCGTTCTGACCATGACGCGTGGGATGAATTGTTAGCCATGGCCAAGTTTGCAATGAACAACTCGAAAAACAATTCCACCCAGGAGACCCCGTTCTATTTGAACTACGGTCAACACCCAAAGAGTCCCTTAGCTCTTGGGGTGCAAATTCGGAAGCCTTTGAAGGGCTATGACAATCCGAATGCCCGTGGCTTGGGAGTGGCCATTGATAGGGCGCAGCAACCTTACTTAAGGCATACTGGTACACCCCTCGTGGAGGGCCTACCAGCTGTGACACGATTTGATCACCATGTCCAATCAGCGCTGAAAGAGGCCAGGGCGTGCTTAGAAAAAGCGCAAGATAGGCAGTCAAAGCATGCGGACCGCCATCGGAGGGATGTGTCTTTTGATGAAGGAGATGACGTCCTCCTTTCGACATAGCATATCACCCTCAAACACCCTGGAACTCGAAAACTATTACCGAGGTGGATTGGGCCCTTCACCATCCTCGATCGGATAGGTCCTGTCACATATCGACTGGAACTTCCGGAAAGCATGCATAAGATACATCCAGTATTTCAAGTATCAAAGATTAAGCCATATAAGGCTAGTGGCAGAGTACAGCCACCTCCAATTCCAATCGAAATTGAAGGAGAACTAGAATATGAAGTTGAACGTATCCTTGATGAAAGGATTAAAAAGCGTGGAAGACGCCGGAACTCCATAGAGTACCTTGTCAAATGGCTGGAATATGGACATGAGCATAATAGCTAGGAATCAGCAAAAGTAGTTGCAAATGTGCAGGAACTGGTTCAAGCATTTGAAAATGGAAGAACTCCTGTTGTGCATGTGTCAACTAGTCGCAGTACGAAATGTACACATTGAAATAAGCTCATGTGTGATTATGCCTTTGACAGGTCCTGCTGAAGTGGGCCCAGAAGCAGACTGGGTATACCGGGCCCCGCACTCGTACGCTGTTCGGACATATAAATGCAATGTCCGCAGCTATCTTGAACGGGGAGCGCCTGGCCACTGAGCAGCCGTTGATCCAACCCCCTCAAGAGCCCGTTCGTGCACGTGGGCGAGGACGAGGTCTGTATTCTCGAGGTGGTCATGGTTGGGCAGCGGTAGAGGTGGCCACCCGGATCCGTTAATAGCGGACAGAGGTTAATTTCCGTTAATTTTCCGTTAATTAACGGAAAATAACGAAAAAAGACAAAAATTAACCAAAAATTAACGGATTTTTGGATTTTTGGGGATTTTTGGGTTTTAGTCATACTTATAGTTTATGGAATTCGCTATTAGAGAGTATGTTTGTATTTTATTTCAACCTATGCATACTAGATTTTCAACTAACTGCAGTTGTTGTGATCTTTTGGCTTTTTTTTTATTTTTTTTAGATTTTTTTTGTTTTTTCGGAATTTTTCTCCCTTTTTCTTTAATGAAATTTAACGGACAGCTGATAAAAATTAATGAACCGGATTTAACGGGCCGGATGGCACCTTTGAGTGGCCACCTCTAGGCAGTGGGTGGCCGTATGTATCGGGGTCGGGGACGTGCAGGGTGACCTACATGTTTCCCATGTTTTTCCTTGATGGACACAGGCCGGAAGGTCAGAAGAGTTTTAATGAGGGTTGTCATAGGCCGACAGGTCATGTAAAACAACCACTCTTTCTCTTCACCACAATTGTATTGTTATCACGCAAACTGGGCATGTGGCAAATCGCACAGCCAGTTGCTGTGTACACACATAATGTTTCTGCTCCCGTATCCACACATTGGGACGAGGACGCCCCACTCCCTGAGGGGGACGAATGTTACGCGCACCGGCCTAATGTGGGGGATGCCCTACTAATGGCCCTTGGTGTGGGGGACGCCCTGCCCAAGATACCTATCCTCAACCCACGGTAACCGCTCTAGGTATTAGGGTACGGGAGTAGGAGGGGTGGTCCCGCCTAGGTCCCCGTAAGGACCTAGGTGCCCGGCGAGGTGGGTCCGCAGCTCAAAGAGGGCAGGAACCCCACACCCACACGCTTTACGTATCACGCCGGCAGCCAGCGCCTGGGCTGCCCCGCCTTGCGCCTCGCCCTCGCTCTTCCCAATGGGCACAGCTCGTCGCAGACGCGCTCCAACGCGCTCGCTCTTGGGCGCCCGCTCGTGTCCCACACCAACACAGATGGAAAAACGTTCAAGAAAAGAACACGTCGAACGGAAAGCAAACGCATGCTGACCTGCAACAGAAATCCTCGTCCAAAACAAACAGAAAAATAACAAACGGAAACAGAATCTATCACCAATCATGGACACTATCAACAGAATTTATTATCCATTTGTACCTCCCCTATGCACCCCTCTGCAGTTGCCAAAGAGGATAGGACGTTGTCAGCTGAAAAGAAGCCCATTCGCCACCACTTATTATTTCTGACCACATCATAGATTCTCAACAATATTTGATCTTGAGCGTGCCCTGAAATGCTATTACTTGTAAGGTGCAAAAGACAACATTATAAATACCAGCCGTGCAGTGCACAAGGCACCAACTCAAGTTGGTGCACGATATCCCCTCAATACACATAACTTGGATCCTAAAACATCAGTCCAGATGATTATGCTCCATCGCTCAAAACCTGCCTTCGTTTCCACAATACAGCCATTGCGCCTATTGGTGCATCAATTGATGCATAGATTGGTACCACAAACATTGCACTTAATCCTACAACAATTGGTGCACGAGTACATGCACCGTCTGTTACAGTATTTCACGTGCTAATTGGTGCACTAAACTTGATCCTAAGAGGCAAATGCTGGTGACTAAAGGTCACTGCGATTGGACATGTTCAACTCATGTTGAAACTCGCTTGCATTCTACTACTTGCCAAGGCCTCAAATACTATATTTCTATTTGGCCACTGCACATTATATAGTCGTGTGTATTGTATCACAACCATCAAGGAACACCAGGGTAATCCGGCAAACCGCGCAATGCCTCACCGTCGGGTTAATCAGAGGACCGCGAGTGCGCAACGCGTGCGGATATCGGGCCTTGTAATAGTTTGACTTAAAATTTTTAAGGTGTACTCCCAACTCAAAAACACAACCGTAGACGAAATTTCATTGAAAACAAGTGCAGGAATGATGTAGAAATAATGCCCCCAAATCATAGATGACAATTAATCTGGGACGGAGGAAGTACTATCAGTGTCCACTATAAAGGAGTACATCATAACAATATATTAATGTCATTGACTCAATTAAGGCCGTATCACAACCCCGTCGACCTCGCCAGCTTCCCCGTCAGCCCCCCGCCAGCGATTCGGCATATCCCGGGGCCGCCGCATTCCCCCCTTGGCCGCTCCCAGATCCGTTGACCAGTCCGGCCGATCTTCGTGGCCGCCCCAGTACTTTAGGCTCTAGGCAGACACGCCTTCCCGCCACGTCGGCCGTTTGAATTTCTGGCGGTGCCTCCAGGTACTGCGGGCCTGGGCCACCCATGAGGGGAGCCGTTTCTGGCGCCCCTTGCGCGTTCAAAAGCGGACAGCACCGGCCCCGGCGCGGCAGGGCAGCCGCGAGCAGTCTGCGCGCCCCGCAACCACCAGGCAGCAGACGGGCCGATCCCGAGGCCGGGCGGGCGATCAATCGACTGCGGCGAGTGTGGCGAGGCGCGGGATCACAGAGGAGGACGGGCGATTCGGATCCGAGGGGCAGGCGGGGCGAGGGGGCCGGGCGAACAGACCGATGGCCGCCGGTTCAGGGCCCGGGTGGCGGTGGGGTGCAGCCGAGGTGGGACCAGGAGGGCATCCGGCGGATTTGAGCGGGACGGGGGCGTTGCGGAGAGGGTGGGGATGAGTTGCCTGGGAATTGAGCTTGCGACGGGATGCGTCGGCGGACGATTTCGAATATGAATTCGACGGTGCTCGGTGGCGCGGGGTGTGCAGACGGAGGTCGTTCGGGTCGGGGACCGAGGGAGTGCTCGGGTGGCGGCCGCGAGGCCTGGAAGTTGGCGACAAGTAATCCGCCTGACTGCTTACCCACCCGCCCCGCCTGGGGCCCAACGTCGCGGGGCGTCGATGTGGGGGACGCCAAATGGGCAAATGCTCCGGATGTCGATCCCCTGACTTCGCCCGCTCGCGCATCGGGCCAACAACCCTTGCCTCAGGCTTCCCGGCCGTCCCCTTCCAGCCTCTACGATTCGAATCCGATTCTCACAGGCGGATTTTCCGGAGGGTTCCCTCATCCACCGCCGGACTGGGCCCGACCGATCGACTACCTGACGGCGGGAGGCCCCGGCGCTGCCAGCGTTGGATCGCGTCGGCAAGCAAGGCATGGTCCCAAGAGGATCGGCGCACCAGCGATTCACATCGCGTTGTTGGGTTGAATCTTGCGCTGCCGTTGATCGGACTCCGGTCAGACACGCTGCGTTGCTGGGAGCGCCACCGCCGGGGCCAGTCCCTGCGTCCGCGCAGGACCGTGCTCTGTCTCGGAAAGCCGAACGCGACACGATTTTGGTATGACCCCGCCCGCGCCTTCAACAACGATCAAAGTCTGACGCGCGGGCTTGGCTTCCCCATCGCAGGGCGCCGGGGTCACCGAGGACCTGGAAGTGGCTGCGATCGGCGCGCACTATCGCCGCGGCATCCTCGAGGGGCTGGCCGCGAAGGCGCGCGTCGCCGTGCCCCCGCGCCACCCCTGCATCCACAACCACCCCAAGGCATCGTGGGCGCCCCACAAGGGCCACTCAATCCACTCCCGGCCGCCGCCGATCCTCCACACGCCGATGGTGTTCCCGGACCTGGAGGACGCCTACGAGGTGTACGGGTACCGGACGCCGTCGCCCCCTCCCTGCGGGGGCCGGTCCTCGCGGCTCAGCACGCCATCGATCGGGACCACGGTGTCGGACAGCGACGAAGAAGGGTCCAGGTATGGTCCGGCAGCATCTCCAGTCCAGACCCCGCATGCGGGTGTCGGAGAACGACATGCTCGTTTGGGGCGTCCGAGTTTGTGGCGCGGCGGGCTGGCGAGCCCCCGCAATCGGCGCCGCCCGGATGGGTTGGGCCGGATGGGCGAGGCGTGCAAGCGCGGTTTTTTTGCGGTGGTGGTTTGTGGCCGTGGAGACGGCGACATACGGCCGCGCCACGGGTGCGATGCGGGCGGGGCCCACCGTCGCCGCGCAATCAACGACTCGGCGCCACGCCCATAATGCCCTTGACGTTTTTCCGCGCCGGGCCATGTCCGTACGGGGGGGTATTCGCCGGGGGCCAGTGCGGCTGCCCGGGGGTACATGCGGCCAAGAGGGATGTCGCATTGCGGGTTTGCGAACGGGGAGGCGAGGGGGGGCGTGAGCGCGGGGATGTGGCTGGGGCTTGACGAGGTTTTGCCAGCTTCGCGGTGGCCCGTTGTCAAGCGTCGCTCGTTGACTTTCAGCACCGCGACGGTTGACTTCCGACGTGACGACGCGGCCGCGCCGATCTTGGGGTCAGTCGATGGTCACGTCACGCAGGACCGCAGCGTTCCTGGACGGCTGTTGACTGAAGTTGTGCATGGATGACTGGTGACTGGACGGGTGTTTACTGAAGCTGTGGCTGTGACCCAAAGCTGTAAAACGTTGCCGCGGCGTGGGGACCCCTGTGGCTCGCGTTTCCGTTACTTCCGTCCACCTTTGCATATTTCTGGTTCCAGTCTGCTTCACGCTGTGCACCGAACCCCATGCCGTCCTAACCCCGGTGCCCGTCAACCAGGTGCTCCTCGCCCGCATCGCCGTTCTACACGTCCTGGCGGTCGGGCGCGTTTGAAGAGGCCGGCTACCTGCAGGCTGGCTGGAGCGTGGGCACGGCCTCAGGCGAATGGCCCACAGACGGGGGGTCGATTCCGTGGCGCCCAGACCCGCCGATCGCCTTCCCTCCCAACGATACCCCCGGCGGACCCGGGGGCCCTCCACCCGATGGGCGGGGTGCCTCCTTCACGCCGATGGCGCGCACCATCCTGTCCGACGTGATGGAGTCGTGGGTGAAGGGCCTGAGGCGGGGGCGGGCAATTGAGCGGCCCGACCCGCCGGACGGATCGCCGATCGGCTGGGAGTCGTCTGGGGGTAGCCAGTGGGGCTGTGGCTTCGAGGCCAGGGCGTGCGAGCGGGGCTTCTTCTTCGCGGGGTCGCCGTTTTGCTCGCTGGGATAAAGAAGGCGGGCGCGCCACATTTGGTGCGAAGAGGCGATTCTGTGCAAAATCAAATATGAGCCAATTGGCGGCGAGGAGATTTTATAATTGGGGAGTGTTGTGCGGTCAGGGGTCACAGCAACCGCGGCGGTTATTGCAATGAGGTCGACTAGAGTGGGGGAGGATGTTCGGGGCGCCCGCTTCAGTGCGCGGGTGAGTCATCCACGGAGCGTGGGGTGGCTGTGAGAATGGGCATGTAGCGTGTAGCTTGGTGTGCAGTACTGTGTGTAGCGCCCGGCGTGCGTGTGTGGGGGTCGTCTACTAGACATGTTGATCGGATTCCACCGGGAACCAGGGCGTTTGGGAATGGGGCGCCAGGAAGCCACGGGGGATGGTGCATTTGGACGCGGCGGTTTTGCAATTCTTTTCATGCAGCGCACCGGCGCTGGCCGGGGGCGAGGGACTACTATTTCTTCGGGCTGCCGCATGAGTGGGGCGTCAACTCGCAGGATTTTGTGGTATGGATGTAGCAGCGCCGTCGACGGTCAGCCAGCTGCCCTGCATGAGTCCACGCAAGAGGCGTGGGCCAGCTGGGTGTGGGTCGTTGTCCGAAAATTCAACTCGTTTCGAATAATCCGCCTCGAAAGGAGGTGAGGCGGAGGGGAGGGCGCCATGTTGCCTATGCAGCGGCAGCCTACTTTCTGGATCGGACGGGGATCACCCGACTGTGCTGTGCCTTCACACCTGATGGACTACGCAAAGGGCCATGAGAGATGAATGACTTTGGGCGCCTGGGGCCTGGTTGTATTTGCACGGCTGTAGTGGACGAGCCGTTGAGTCGCTTCCCTGTAAAACCGCGCAGAGCATGGCCCAAGAAAATGGTCCAAGGTGGCGGCGGCTGAAAGATGGCATCTTGCTCGCGAGGGCTTTTGAAGGGAGGCTGGATTGCATTCATGGTGGCCGAACGCATCGTCTCTCTGCATTTCAATTCAAGCGCAACGGGTCGTCATTCCCATTTGCACGTCATCTACCATCAGCGGTCTCGAAATGAAAGCCTTCCCTTGCATTGCCATTGTCGTAGTAGCCTCGGGGGGAGGCGTGGGATCTTGGCGCTTGTGTATGTGTGTGTGTGTGT